ATAATGGTATAACGCCATATGTGAAACACAAATAACTCTTATTCGTTCAGATCACAGATTTAACGTCAAGCTTCTGAATAACTTTCATAACATGTTCGTAATATCTACTATTAAAGGATATGTGCGATAATTTTAGATTGGAATTAACAAAACAATTACGCACTATTAAGTATGTACCGTATCGACAGTATCCGCGACTTTTCCTGAATCTACCGATTGCAGTCGAGTACGGGACAATCATCACTTGTTGCGACACCATTGACTTTTGGTTTTGAGCGAAAGTCGTAATTTTTCTACCCATATACGAACATAAACATTTCCAATGTTCAAAGTTTAAGATTTTTGTTGGAACAGAAGAACCCTCTTTAGTAATTTAATTTTGTCTATGTTTAATCCCATGTCGTCTAAACAGAGCGTAATTTTCGTTAGGATTGATTTTATCAAAGGAGAGGAGCAATTCTTACAATATATAATTTATACAGAGTATTTTTTAATAGATCCGTGGTTAAAAAGCTTCTTAACGGTAACAGTCAACATACAGAGTCGCTTTCCTAATAATTATACGTATGTGCAAGTGATATCTGTGCTGGTCACTGCAATTTTTTTCATTTCAGGTTTGTCCGGTTTTTTTTTAAATAGAAAGTGATTAATTAAAGACATTGTTGCTAGTATTTTTAAACGTAGGTTTTTATCGTATATTCAAAAATAAATAATATACAGGGTTTGCTATTTAAAAAAATGTTTGGGGTTATTATACCGGGTGTATATTTTAAAACCGAACATAGGCAAATTAACATGGGAATAACGTTTTGTTCAGATCGTTGCTCCCACTTAGAGCTTAGAGGGTTTAGAATGACACCAATCAAAAGAAGATTTTTTCTCTAACGAATTAGTTTATTTTCACTTGTATTTCTCATTTTTATTTTTATTTTATCAAAAATTCGGCAATAAATCCAATTAGCAAAATCATGTTAAGCTATGGAAATTTCCTAAAGAATTGAAATAGGTTTTCACACATACGGAATGGAACGCTCATTAAAATGCACCGAAAACAAATATCGCGTACTAGAGTAAATATTTCCGCTGTAGACGTTGTTTATTATAAATACTTTTCCCTCACTGAACCGCATTTTACAAAAAAATTAATGCCAGTTGTCATAAATTGATATTGATTTCGACGTTTGAATCTGCTTTTTGATTTTGGTAAGTGGATTTATTGCCGAATTTTTTATAAAATAGTGAGTAATGCACCTGAAAATGAACTAATTCGTATATCATTAGACGAGGAAAAAAATCTTCTTTCGATTGGTGTCATTATAAACCCTCTAAGGTAGCATGGGGAGCAATCGGGAGCAACTATCTACAAAAATCCCTTTTCCCATGTTAATTCCTATGTTCGGTTTGGGAATATTCACCCAGTCCAAAAAGTGCAAAAAAATTGCGATTATGGTCAAATTCTTTGCTTTTTACTCTAAAATTCTAATATAATTTGAAGAAAATCGGCTCATAGATAACGGAGATATGTAACCGTTCAGGGACTTTCGGTGCACTGTATACAGAGTGAAAATGTTGTCTGGAATACTGAATATATCTTCAAAATAACACTTTTTTAAAAGAAGCTGTTTATGGTATCCAAAATTACTCGTATAAACAGTTTGCTACCAATCTACGTACCTATTTTAAGTTTGTGGTCAGTGGCGTGCTTCTGCATGGTGGCGGATTTTCACCTGGGAAAAATGGGAGAAGGCGTGTCGAGACGGCAAAGTTAAGACGCCGTGGTGGAGGAACTGAGGCGTATCGACTATCGGTTTTTTGCGTTGACATCGTAGTTCGACGGCGTTTCTGAAGCGTCGACTCGCCCCCCCCCCTTCCTCCCCCCAATTGATCAAATCGGTTCGGAGTTGAATGGATGATTCTTGGTGCAAAGAACATGACATGGGAAGCATGCTCACTCATCAGCTGCACAACATTTACATTCATTTACAAATCTGGTTAAAAAAACAGTAAAAGAACGCGCCTGGAGTAGAGGCAACCAAAACTACTCTACGGCAGAGATGAACTTGAAGCGGAGGTGCGAGAAGGTTAGCACTGTCATTGGAAGCACTAACGACCCGTGTCCACCGTTAGTGCTTCGTTAGTGTCTTTTAGTGCTTCATATTTCGCAACTACGCACAATGCCGTTTCACAAGTACAGGGACCCTCCGATTTGAAAGCACTAACGACATGGTCCGTGTCGATTGTTAGTGCTTGCTTAGTGCTTCGTATTTTGCTTGAGCGCAGAAAATCGTTTCGGAGATATAGGTAGGGGTCTGATGAAGTGCTGATTATATTTTTTGAAAGCACTAACCAAAACGGTGTCGACTGGCTCCGTTAGCGGCATATAGTGATCCATACCTTACATAAGCGATCAACGCATTAGCAGTCCAGAAACAACATTTATTTTGTAATTCGTAGTCGTCGCGGTACAAACATAAAATTGAATTCTACAGCAAAAACAAGAAAACTGCGTCCATGGAATAAGAGAGAAAGGGGAAAGGGAAAGAGGCACAAAAGATATATAGTTTTGGACACTCTGGAGTTGTATAGAAGGAGACCAGAGGAACAAGGAAAAGAAATAGGAGGAGTGAAATAGTATGGGGGGTATTAAAAAAGCAATAACGTGGAAACAAATAATTGAAGAGGAGAGAAAAATGAAAAGAGTGGTGAAACAGAGAGTGTACAGGAGAGAGAAATGATGGCGAAGGAAGAGAGGAGGTTAAAGGAGATTAGATAACCAGAGAGGTGATGGAGCAGCATTTAAAAAGGTCAAAGAGAGAGGAAGCGACAGGGAGAGAGAAATACGAAATAAGGCCACAGATAGGGGCAAGGAAACGATGCGGAATCTAGTAAATATGATATGGAAAGAAGACGAATTACCTGAAGAATGGAAGAACAGGGTAATAGTGCCGATTTTCAAAAGGGGTGATAAAGATTGTGTGGAAAATTATAGGGGAATCACGATAATGACGAATCTATGCAATGGTACCGAATGAAAAATTAGAAAGTGAAATGGAAGAGAAAAGGATGTTGGAGGAAACAAATGGGTTTCACAAAAGGAAAGGAACGATCGGCTGTATATACAGGGTGGCCCAACGAAAACGAATAAAAAATAGGTTTTGAAACAAACGCAAAACGCGCCGATTTTGATTGGAAGGGCACCATCTTTTACTTTAAAATTTACACCTCTGCTGTCAACCCTCCAAGCAGGGTTGCCACCCCTTCGATAATTTAAATTGAACGTTGGGTCGAGTGACATATCATTGGAAAGGGCTCTTCATTTCCCACACGCCTATGGTTTTGTTTTCAAATTTGAGCGACTCTACATAATAGTAGATATGGAAAAAGTAAGACAGGGCCCAAGTGGAGGGGTAGTAGTGATACGAAGAAAGATATGTTCCCTAGCATACGCGGTCGGCGTAGTGATCATGGCAACAGAGGTAGAACAAATGAAGGGGTGTTGGGAAGAATGGGGAGGTATTGGGAAAACGAAAGGGGTGGAGTTAATTATAGAAAATTTCAACATATGAGATTTGGGGGGAGGGGGGGGGGAGAAAAAAAGAGATGAAAATGTAGGGAGCTACCAAATGCCAAAAGGTACAATGGGGCACATGCACAAATCAGAGGCCTATTGAAAACAGGTATAAATTGTGCACAACTCTTGTGCAGATAAAGCTCATTTTTTTTAACCGAAATAGCTTTTGTTTTGACATCACCAATGGATATATTTCTTGCAGACGTCTTAATCGCCCTTTGTGAGTACCCTATTCCGACAATCCGTTCTTAAGGTATAAGGGAATATTCCCGATCACGATAAGAGGTCGAGGTGGAGGGCTATGGTTGATAGAAATTAATTCCTTTCGTTGAGATCTTTCATTAGAGTACCATGAAGGATAAAACTAGTTCCGCCCCCCCCCCCCCTCCCCCTCCACCCCGTACTTTGATAAGAGGGTGAAGGACGGCTCCGTCGCTCTCTGATCTCGAAAAAGAGTCGCACGGGAAAGTTATAGTTTGTATAAACCAATTTATTTCCATGAGACCTTTCATTAGAATACCATGAAGGGTAGAAAATGTGCCCCCCCCCTTTCCTAAAGTGTAACTTGGCACCACTAAAGGCATGCGTATGCAAAATCTGAGACCAATTGGTTGTCGTATGCACGTTTCTTCAAGATATAGGCTACCTACTGCAAAAAAATTCCAGGACTTTAGGACCAGTAGAAGTGGGTCCGGACAGACGGACGGACGGACGGGCGGACAAAACGCAAACAAGAGCACCACATTTTTTTTAATTCTTAAAAAATGCGCTAAAAAATGGCCATGAGAGACGTGTGAGCGCAGAGGGGTTAAGAACGACTTCAGAACGAGAAATACCTGGCTTATGTACGAAACGGAGATGTGGGGGTGGAAGAATAATAAAAAAAGCTGTTAGTGCTAAACGAAAAAGCACCAAATTATACATTAGAGGATGAAACAAAAATGGAGAAGATAAGGATAGCGTCGGGATTACAGGCGGTAAGGTTCAAGTGAAAGAGAAAGCGAATTAGAAAAGAATGCTTGACAACGAGGATGAACGAAAAAAGAATGCGGAAAGAATAGAAATGGATATGTCGAAAGCAGGAGAGGAATAGGAGAAAGGATGTCAAATGAGCTGAAAAAAGGGACATTGATGCACAAGTTCAACAACAGAGGGCGAAGAGTGCACGAGAAAGCAGTAGTCACAGGAACTAATAAGGGCCTGGTTACCAAAACACTTATACGGTGGAACAAAGAGTATTGAAACAATGGCGAGATTCAGATGCGGGAATGAGGAGAGAGGGAAGAAGAAATGGAAACAAGAAGAAGAAAGAAAATGTAAAATCTGTGGAGTTACCAGAAGGTGGAAAGGACAAGGCGAAGCAGGAGTGATCTGTTGGAAGAGGAGAGGAGAGATGAGAAGTGGATGGTCCATAATAAAGAAAAGAAGAGAAAAAACGCATTTTAGTGTTATTTTGTTGCAATACAAAATGTAAAAACTTGATTGATTGTTGACTAACAAGCCACAAACATTATCATACAGGAGGATCTGAATCGGCTAAAGTGAGTGAAGTGATATCGAAAGGGCCGTTGAATTTTGAACGGTTTGCGGGAAATGGAAGTCAATTTGTGCTTTATGGATAATTCGTCGCTGCTTCCCATCCCATGCACCGTTTTGTATGTATAGTACTTCAATGCGACTATTCCGGTCTTCGGTTTATCCCATACTTTTTTGGATTTTGGTAAGACTCGCTGCCTGGATGGGCTAGAACTAAATTTTGCATGTTCCAACGTCGTGTAACTAAAATGTTATTATGTTAGCCACATTTTGAATCATTCTGCTTCTTCTGTCGCATTTTAAAGCAATAAAATCGTGTACTAGTCATTTTTTTAAGCGAAATCTGGGAACGTGTTTTAAATGATGCTCCCAAATGAGGGCAAAACGACCTCTTATCATTGCCACATCGTTCCTACACGTATTCTCTCCGTCTCCATGACGTTAACATGTTAAAAACATCTTGTTTGCTACAAAATTTACTTAATTACCTACGTCTTTAAATAAATATTAAACGTTGTTAATGTCAAAAGGAGTTTTACAAACAGAGTGTACCGATAATGCTTCACCTTCAAACTGTCACCCCCGTATGTTATACATTGCAGTATACCCGATAACGCAAACTGCGCTGAAAATGACGTGTACTTACCTGTGATAAAAAAAATTGTTTTCAAAAATTGGTCATGCAGTCGTAAAGTACGTACGATAAACCAGTGATAACATGAAGCGTTGCATGTACGGTTATTAATGGTGCAGAATTTTGCTAATTGGCCTCTAATTAAATTTTATGGAGCGAACTCCATTAATTTATTTTGATTTCCACCGTTAATCTTGTAATAGGATTATTCAAACAACCCGATCCACAAACATATTCTAAATTCCTTATCTTGCATCTGGACAAATTTACGACAGGCACATTTTCCGCATTGTGCTGGGACGAATTGCCTAGATCAATATGTGCCCAGAAGATTTGCGCTAATTTACGCCTCGAAAATGGGCGCTAATTCACTGCAAACAAATCCATTATAAAACGTTTCGATTCCGACACTCATTAGAAAACCAAGTATGGTCTCTTAAGTAGGTAAAAACAATTACTGAATTATGTATGAGGTATCAATTTACCTGATAGTTTCGAACGCATGTCGAAATCGGTGCGCCTGCGATGAATTTCTAAGTTTTTTCTTAGGCAGTAACCCGAATTTCCTCCTTTTTCGCCGAGGGATCACTTACGTCTGGCAAGAGAAGGTGTGGGTGGCAAAGAGCGAAATTACTTGTAATTCACATTTCGTACGGTCGTATTTCATTTTGATTTATGTGTAATTACCGTCGATGTTTCGTAATTTACTGCCATTTCATGAAGAATCGATAAAGTTGTAAATATTATGTAAATCTTTATTATCCTTCAGGTACAGTGAATGAGCAGGCATGCTCGTAATTCATTTTCGAGTACTTTGTGCCAGTTGGTCAAAAGCACAAGCGTAAAACCTTCTCTCGCATTATCTGCATTAACACACCGGAAGCTCAAATAATTTTCCGTAGGAGCGCAAAAGCAAGTTTGACAGTGAATTTTGAAAGATGGTTGAGGATTTGAATTAGGAACAAACTGGGCTTCATGTTTCTCGAAATTTAGTAGATAACGTTTTGTTTAATCAATGGAATAATTTACCAATGTTCCGCAGTGTTGTAATGTCAATTTTCCCCTTGCACACTTAGGATTTTAATGGTGGATTTATAAATCATGATCATTGGTTCACTAATCTCAGGATGGTTTCGTTGGTTAGCAACGCGCAATAAACCTTTGTTTCTATTGGTTATTTGTTAATGATTGTAGAAACCCACCACAACAGTTAGCAAAAGCACTAATTAATCGTCTTTAAACTTTTTACCGGTTGCCGTTAAATCCAGAATCTTATCATCGCCCCGTATAAACAAGAGAGGTGGCCAAATTTAGTTGGTAAACTAATCATAACTAAACACTCCAAGTATAAACAAAATGAAACGTTCTGTATCGAGAAAAAAATTAATTTTCTGTAGTTAGCAAAATTAAAGTAAAATTTGTAAAATGGTCCAGTAGGCCCTGACTTTATTTGGATAATCTCTTGTTTTGGTTAGTGTAGCGAATATACCAGCAATTCCGATAGATATCCAGTCGGCAATCTTTGCGAGAAGTATGACGTGTTTTGTTCGAGAATCTTCTAGAATGCTCGAGAGCGTTCGAGAACTTTCGAGAAAGAAGGACGTTTGCTATGTAAGCAAATCGAATTGCGTTTCAGACAGTTCCAATTTCAACGCCGACGTAATAAATGGTTCGCGCTGTTATAAATTGTGTCATATTTAGGAACATCCATTATAATCCAAAAAACAACTGGGACACGTAATGTAAAACCATAGCATCTTGCGAATGAGACCACAGGTGCCCTGAATAATAGTACAGAATGTCAACCGGGGCACTTGAGCCATATAAAACAAGTTAGAAGGAAGATAATCACACATTTCTGAGTCAATTTCCTCTAAAATCGGGTGGCAATCATGGATTATCCAGAAGAAAACATTTTCAAATAAATTTTGTCCTGTACCGTGCGTCCTATGTTTGTGAAACTTTTAATACTATCAACAGAATCAATCTAGCTACGTTTGTTTCTGAGATACAGAGTGAAAACGAAAAGTTTTACGTTCTTGGATGTAATCATAATCTACATTGCCTAATTTAGATATTTTACGTACAATCCAGTGGCGTAGTAAAAAAATTTAAGATTTGAGAGAGATTTGATTTGGTATTTTTTTAAATGTAACACCCTGTACATGTTAACGTCAATTTTTTTGCATTATTTTTCTTGATTACATTGATGTACGACGAACTATATTTTTATAAATTTTAAGCATGAGTCAAAAATAAAAACCCTATTGTTTGCGGTTGCGAAACATCATTGTAATCAAAAAATGACGTTAACATATACAAGGTTTTGCATTTAAAAAATACCAACTTTGGATCAAATCTCAGAAACGGTGGTGCAAAAATTTTTTACTACGCCACTGAATTCTAAGTAAAAATATGTAAAATAGGCAGTTTTTGCCTTTTTTTCTATCTTACATAGGTAGACATCACAGTCTCAACAAAAATAGGACAAACGGTACAATAAAAAAATACGAGAATTGCCAAGATATGAGTACTACAACACAAGAACGGATTTAAAAAAAATTGTAGTCTTTTCTCTAAAGTTGAGAGAAAAATTGTTGCTGATTAACCGAGAAAAAAATCATTTTATTTGTCACTCAGTTGTAAACGTTGATTAACAAGACAAAACGCAAACGGGTAAACGTCATGTTTTAACGCTACTGACTTGTAAAACTGACGGCTGACCTGTAAAAATTTTACAAGTTAGTAATGTAGTAATTTCATTGGCCAGAATTAATGCTAAGTGTCTGTTACATGGATAACATGATATTTTAGACATTTCTTCAAGATCAATTTAAGAATTAATTATTTACGTTTACTATTGTTTATAAATGAGTAACAAATAAAATATTTGGGCATGTAAAATTTAAAAAATATTAATTTTTCAAACAAAAACAGTAAAGGCAAAAAACTATTTTGAATTAAATAAAGTTTGTGTCTAAATTAGAACGAAAAAAAGTTATTAAGTAATTGCGAACTTTTCTCAAGAAAGGAACGCTAGCAGATTATTTGTTGATATTTAACACGCAACTATCAAACAATAAAAAAAACTTTCCGCTACACTAGTGGATATAATACTTCCATTGACGTCCCCTTGAAATGATAATTCTATTTGGCAGATCTACTACTGTAGAAAACAAGATGTCGCCAAATGAATTGTGCGAATCATATACGGATTTAGGAAGTTATAATTCTAACCTAATTTTTTTAAATAAAGAATTTTAATATAAGAGTACATTAAATTCTCTTTCCAAACACATATGATATTAAAAAAAAATTAAAAAAATTCGAAATGATTAAAAAAAATTTTTAATTCAAAGAAATGTTAAAATAATTTAAAATGTCTAAAAATGATTTCAAAAAAATTTTTGAATTATTTTTAATTTTTTGTGTGTTTAGCATGAAGTATTTTTCAAATTTACCATAAAAGGTACCGAAAAAATTATCGCCGACATGTTTCTAAAATATTTTTGATCACCAGGGACGTGCTGCAGTATTCCATGGTGTATCAAACTTGAATTTGCACACCCCATATTCTGTTACTGATCTAGAAAGTACTTATTTTTTTATGTAACATGTTACATCCCATTTCTGCTTGATTTTGGAACATTTTCGCAACGCTGATTAAAAAACAATCAAACACTGCCGACACTGTACTGTTAATTGTGAGAATTGAACATCTATTGTTTCATCATGGCACACTTGGGTTCGGAAAACAACGTTATTTTACAAATTGGCTTTTCGACTTGGTTTTATCCTGAAATTTTCTTATGGAATGAGTGGTTTTCTTTGTATCAGTGGAAAATTTGTAGTTTTGGCTACCCAGAGGTATAATATGTTTAGGGGGGTGCCATTTAAAATTATTAAAAAATATGACAAAAATGTTATTTTTTTGATAAAGTACCTAAAAATGTGACCGTGGAAGAGGTCTTAACCTGTGCATCAGTTCAAAAATTACCGCCTGCGCGATTTGGTTTCCCTAAAAAAATTTCGAAAAACGCCACTGGAATTACAGTACGCCCCTGGTGATCAAAAATATTTTAGAAATATGGCGACAGTAATTGTGTACAATTTTGATATCTTTTATGGTAAAGGAATTATTCTCCGAGGAGTCTTAGGTGCTACACCCTGTATAGAGTAGGAGTTTTCACATTCGGTACGAAAATCGCTTAGTTGTTGTTGTTTGTGGGGCTTTTGAACAGATAATAACCTGGGGGGAGGTACCCCACAGATCACATTATATCTCTGAATACCATAAAATCATTATGTGATTTAATTACTTACCTTTGTGCTAATCATCAAGTTTGGAGCTAAAACACTGAAAACAATAGCGTTCATTTTCCTTTCGAAACATGCGCTCAAAATCAAACAAATCGGATAGTTAACTCCTGAATGCGGTTACCTGTGCCCCAGTGGTCGATCCCAAGACGTATTCTACACGTTTTTCATAACCATGGAGCTCGAAAAAATGGGCCAGTCATTAGCAATAAACATTTATTTAGGCAACCATCCCTAAAGGTGCCTTTAGTGCGACGGAGACTTGGGTATTATGTTATTGGTTAATTTGAAGAGTGGGGTGTTTTTTGTTTAGCAAATGGGGATTTCTCCTCGCGGCTTTTAGATCACGTGACCGCACTCACCCAATAACAGAAATTTCCAATGTGCCAAAACACTGTCGCACTAAAGGCACCTTAAAGGGGGCAAATGAGCGTGGCGCCACGTCGGAACTTTCAGAGGAAGGATCATAGAGCATATGTGCCAATTTTCATAGCTTTACTCAAAAGTGCGAACCTTCTCTCATTTTAAGCACCCAGACTATTATGAAGTTCAAGTCCCATAAAGTGTCATGTGCCAAATATATTTACTAGCCAAGCCATAGCTTTATTGTGTAACTTATGGGATATGATAAAGAATTTTCGTTTGCATTCAATAGAGGGCGTTTAGGCAGGTCGCCGCACAACTATAAAAGATATTATTATCGACGCGAATTTTGAGAGCTGTATGAATTTTTGGAGGATTTCTCGAAGGCTAGCAAGATTTAATTATGAGCATAGCAGAAATTTGAAGGTGCAGCTCGAATGGATAATGATTGCAGCAGTTGGAACATCACTTCTATTTGTAATTTTCATGGTGGAGAATGAGCGTTCACCATCCCTTATACATGAAAAGCAAAATATCTCAAATTTTTGGGTCGCAGATAAATTTTGAGTATTAATTTAGTAAAAAATAGTATGTGGCAAGATTAAAATTCCAATAGCAAAAGATTCGCATATAAAAATGCAAATAACCGAGCCCACCTATACATATAATAAATGTACTGCAACAATCCATCAACGTTATCATGACGACATTTTTGCATTTCGACATTTCTTGAATGGGAACGATCAAGAGAGGAGCGTTGGTGTCTTGCATGAATTGCAAAAGTGTTGGGCCAGCGAACAAAACATTAGCTTCGCATAAATTTCAATGGGTTAATTGTGCAATAGTTGATAAAATGAAATATTCATTAGTTTTTTATAATTTTATGAATGGCAGTTTAGAAGCAATCGATAGGTCGCGAACACCATGCATCATCAGTGCTAATTTTCGTTCTCGTTGAAGAAGCTCTTCCTCGCGCTACCAAACTCATTTATTTACCACCACTCCGTCTGCTTTGTTTTTTACCAAACACATTTTTTAATTCCTTCGCGTACTTAGCAGTTGTTAATTCGGCGGGCATCCTTGGTTGAAGTTATAGTTGAGTGCGAGCATTTGTTTTTTTGTAGATCCAGAATTACTTTTTAATGATTGTTTACATTCTTCATTGGCCAAAGAGTTAGGTAAGTTTTTTTTTGCCAACACACCTTGTTCATTTAACAAAAGCCAACGCCAAAAATCAAAAAATTTTCACCTCGTAATTTCTGCCATTGACGTCAACAATGACGTCAGTGAGGAACTCGACCATTCTTCAAGTGATTTATCATCTTCTGGAAGTTAGTGAAGCGTTTTAGTGGCATCTTCCCTAAGGGCCATGGTAGCATCATCTCGAGTTCGAAACAACTTCCTCTGCACATCAATTAACCTTCAACGGTTGGCTGCCAGTTTCCATTGATACTGAAAACAATTATGTCAATAAATCTCTTAATTATCTAATTGATGGCAGTAACCACAACCTGCGGTTAATAGTCAGCTACAGTAAATAACACTTGTAGATACGCCGTCTTCCGCACAACTTTTCCAAACAGGAAGAGTCCACTTTTCACAGACTTGAATAATTTATTTTTAATTGTTTGTAAAAACGTTAAATTGAATAATTCTTTCGAGGTGAATTTTTTTTAATATTTTGTCGTTAAGATCGTGATTACTTTTGCTATTATCGAACTTTAATCGTTTTAAAATATAGTGAGTGTGCGTTCAAGGATAATTGCAACCTGAAATTATATTGGTATCGTTATGCAATTCTTTTTGTAAACTGCACTCAGTTCACACACACTCGCTCTCAAGAAACGACATCGTCTCTCAAGTGTTGCTATAATGAGTTGTTTTGTAGTGATCTGAATACAAAATGGTGTTCGATTTTTCCAAGTACGCCAAAACTTATATACCATGGGAAGATCCGAGGGACTCGCCGGTTCTCCACCATATACAGCCACGAAAAGTATCCTACTATGTAAGAAATCATCACCAATCACTTTACTCGCACCCATCGCATGCGACTCGTCTCCTACTAATCCAAATTTTTCATCAGCAAAATTAATTGGGGGATCAATATTGCAAATTCGCTTCTTGGTTCAAGTAAACCAAGCCAAGTAAAGCTTCCTTCAAAAAACCGCAGGCGTCCATAAATAACTCCAGATTTGATACGCCCGCCGTGTCATAACGAGCAAATTTATATATCGACTGTACCTACCTGCAAAAAAGTTGCACGCAAATTCCTTGCGAGGTGAACGCCGGGTCGGGATGAATGACCCACCTTTAAGGGACAACAACAAATTTTGACTCCCACCACTTTGTGCAGAACAATAATTACATTGCCAGTTACCACAACCTTGAATTGGTGAAGAGTAGCTCATTTGTAAATATTATATAACTCGCGTCGTCTCCCCCAACCGCTTGTTATTACCAGAAATAAATTCCCTAATTAAGTATTTCGATGATTACGCTTGCCAAGGACTCTTCCTATTTTAATTGGAGCTTCCGATTATTCTGTGCTGCCTAATTAGTTTGGAATAATACACGTCCATAGCAATTGAACTTGCGTTGGGCCAATTCGGAAATAATTACTTCTTACGTTCGGCGCAAAAAAAATGGTAAAATAATAAGAGCTCATCTTCGCTGACCTTGCCCCATGTGGTACGGAAGTGTGTAATGGCACGTTTCCGACGCTCGAATCGCCAATAATGATACGAAAATTGGGTTTGTTCGAAAGACCACGTTGCATTTCACTAATTAAACGGAGAATCGCCGCATTTTGGTTATGCCCAAATGCTTTTCGGCAGGAAATAATACCATCAAGGTTGTCGAGATCCTTGTGGAACATTACATTACTATTTATTAATACGGTTAGTATTTTTCTTTGCCCATTGTTATTTTGTCAATTCCATAATGGTACCTTATTAGAACGATAATGATAGCTTCGTTTACTTAGTATCCTATCAGCGTCCTTGGTGAGCCAAAGCGGACACTCGAGTCCATAGAGCGCGAAAAAAAATCGCGCAAACCAAACTCGAAGAGAAAATCCCAGAGAATTAACATGCGTTCCAAGTGAATGTACTTTACATACCTTCGTAGAAAGTGCCAATAAATTAATTGAGCAAATTGGTGTTCCGGAATAGTCCAGATATGGGAAAACCCGCCGAGGTTTGACAGGGAATTAGCATAAAACGCGCGATTACGTCACCTCTTTCGGGAGGGCCAATTAATTTTTTTTTTTGCCGCGATGGTAATCTATCAAGAAGTCATGCATGCGCGCAAACCGAAACGGGTAGATGACAGCGATAAGTGATTGAGGGAAAAAAAATTGCAAGGCGTCAGATGAAGCTTTGGTTGCGGGCAGAATTACAGGTTTTACTGCCATGCCTTTAGGTACAAACAGTGAGAATCGACTTTGTAAATACCGTACTGGTTTTGACCGGATTAAACTGGCTTCGTGTACACGTTTCAAATATTTCCATTGGACTCATAGTACGCTTTAAAAATTTGATATTCCTAATTTAACCTACTTAGTGTATTTTGCAATTATTTTTGTAATTAAGAAAATGAGTAGGGTGACCAACATTTCGTGACAAAAGAGATTGTTCTGGGCTTCGACGCAATTGCAAAATTGTTCTATTTCTTCTAGATGTCCATGATAGTTACACTCAAATTGTCCGAAACTAAAACGCAAATTTTATACAAACTTGTTTAATTAGTATACACAAGATCGGTTATCAAAATCAAAATGGACTACTTATTCAAAAAATGCCTTTTTCTCTAATTTTTTAATAGGTTATGGTACCCCAAAATCTTCTTTACCCCAAACACCTTTCGAACCAGGTGACCTTTTGGTAGAGCAACGTTGCCTGAAACCCCGCCCGCTTAAAAATAGACCAAAAATAAAATGAAAGGGACAAGGGATGAAAAACACAAATTGGGGAAGCTGCTGAACACATTTCACTTATAAACCCCCGTAACGACCATACAAGGCTTTTGTGCTGAAAATTGAAGCACTAAACAAGAGAGTTGCCGATGATGGTCAGTTCCTAATAACACAAAACGCAAATGCAAAACTCAAAAAACCAATAGCATAAAGGACACAAAAAAATACAAAGAACCCAAAAGATGCGAATGAAAGGACACAAAAGCATAAAGTATATTTTAAAAAAACCAAAAAACATCAACTACAAATCAAATAATAAGGGGGAAAATATAGAGAACACGTCAACTGAAATGGACTATACAGGGTGGTGACTTGCATCACGCATCATAGAAAAATTTTTTACGCTAATCAACCGTATTAGTTTTCAATTTTTTGCATAATAAGGCCGGAAAATTGGAAAAATAGAACCCCCATCTTTTTCAATAATCTGTGATGCCATGGAATTTTATAATACAAAACTACGCCAATATCAGTTATGCCATGGCCATGGAATGTCTGCTATAAAACAAAGCAAATTCTATCAAAAATTATTATATTTAGAACAGCGAAATCAACATAAAGAAAGACCAAATTACTAAAAACGGTTTCCTAATATAACAATTTACAATAAATATTAACTACAAGACAGTAACCAAGTCGATCATAAAATCCATTTCGAACTGCTGCTAATTGATAACTGGATATCTTTTTGTTTTAGAAAATTCCATGGCACCGCAGATATTATTGAAAAATATGCGGGTTTTATTTTTCCAATTTTCCGTCTTTATTATGCAAAAAATTGAAAACTAATACGGTTGATTGTCATAAAATATTTTTTTCTACAAAAAACTTTAATACATTTTTACTCTAAAATAATTTGGGGAGCCAATAATCGCATGTTATGAATTTTACATTGAAATCCCTATGATGCGTTACGCGAGTCACCACCCTGTATACTATAAGATATACGATATACAGTTATTTAAGGACAACTTTGTGCTTACTTCTTCCCTCAGAATTCGATTATCTCTGATAATATCGTAATTTCTTGCTAACACTAAGCATAAAAGGTAAACAGAACAAAAAAGGGACAAGATACAAAATAAACAAACATTCAAACAACCCCAAAGTGATGAAAACATCAAAACAAACGCAAATTCAAAATGCAAAAACCATAAAGCAAGAGACTCACAAAATAGAAAAGTACCTAATAAAGGAAACAAATGACACCAAGCAGAACACGCAAACACAAAACAGCAATACACACTAAAAGCTGAAAATACGTCAATTGGTGATAGTAAAGTACTATGTGCTGCTTACTTCTGTCCTCAAAGTATTTCTTTGGTCACCATAATTGGTTACTAACACAAAACCTAAAATGCGACCAACATAACAGTTGCAAAGGCCAAAAGAAAAACAAGTTAAAATGGTATTCGCCCTAAGGCAAGTAATTTCACCGCATTTTACATGCATTGGTCAGTACTTTCCAAAAGACCATAGCTATGTATGTTATGTTTTCATTTCCTAGAGGCATTTATGGTTAAAATTGTAAAGAAATATCTTCAGAAATTAGGAAGTTGGCACTGCGCATGCGCACATCTATTGTTTACAATATGAGATATGTTTGCCTTCAACAGAAGTATCTGTGATTAAGATTTCAAAAAGATATCTCTATAAATAATTAAGACAGTTGATATTGCTCATCCTACGCACGTTATCGCAATACACACATATATTTACGAGGTCCTACCAACAATTTCCCTAAAATTTAGCGTACCATTACACACTGATGTTTACAATATGCGATACATTTGCTTTTACTAAAAACATCTTTGGTTACAATTTTAAAGAAGTATCTCCATGAATAAAAAAGTTGGCATTATGCAGTTTGCGCATGGACACATCTCATTTTTAGCGTATTTGTTAAGAATTTAAAAAAATATTATTTGCGTTTTGTTCGTTGGTCCGCCCGTCTGTCCGTCCATTCGGACCCACTTCTGCGGTTTTGAACTACTTTTAGGGGAATGGTCCTAGAGTCCCTGAATTTGCAATATGTAGCCTATACCTTCAAGGTGTGCTAGACGGCCATCAAATTTCGCTATCTCAAGCCCCTCCCCCCCCCCCCCATGAATTACTTCCTGAGATGGTGTCGCTGTCTCAAGGGGGCCCCCTGAATTATTTCCTAAGATTTTACTTGCGACAACCACCCGGTCACAGAATTTGCATACGCATGCCTTTTGTGGTGCGAAGTGAAATTGTTGGGGGGGGGGGGGGAGGATGAACACACGTTCATGGTATTGTCCTACGCGACTCCTGTCTGAGATCAGTAGGTACCCGGGGGAGGAGGGACGGGGAGGAATTAATTTTTTCTTTCATGGTTTTCCAATGAAAGGTCCAACAAAAGAAACTGTTTTCAAATACCACCCTAAATTCGGACTCAAAAGTGGGGCTGTTTTTATCCTACATAGTACTCTAATGAAAGGTCTCAACCCTGGTCTCAACGAAAGGCATCAATTTCTACCAACCATAGCCTCCTCTTCTATTCCTTATCGTGATCGTATCGAATGTAAATAATTCCTTATATCTCCAGAACAGATTGCCGGAGGATGGTATTCACAAAGGGCGATTGGGACGTCTGGAAGACATATTTATTGGTGATGTCAAAACTTTACGAGCGAATATCTCGAAAACGCTTTGTCAGAGAAAAGTACCCACGAAGGCAAAATGAATTGTCTGGACGAGGTGTTGGTGAAGTCTCCCCATTTATCATTTGACAAGAAAAAAAAACATGCTACTACCTTATAACGCAACCATTTACTAAGCTATTTCGGTTTTAAAAAATGCGCTTTGTGCACAATTTATACTTGTTACTATACATATGCGATATGTTTGCCTTTACTGGAAGTATCTGTGGTTAAAATTTCAACAAAATATATTAATATAAACCGGCTTTATGGTTCAGTGGTAGAGCGTTTCGCTATAAATCCGGAGGTCGGGTGTTCGAACCTGGGTTGAGGTGAATTTTTCATCTGTGGCAGACTTAAGACCTACTGCAGAGACACCTCTAAATAATAAATATATGATAATAAATAAAATAAATAAATAATAAATAAGAAAGTGGACATTGCGTATCCTGCGCATGCGCACATTAATCGTCAAGATTTTTCTTGCCTCAGGCGCCAGAGCTATATGCTACCGAATTCAAAAAGAACGAACTAAATATATTAATAACAGTTAAGGTCTCAGACGGACAGGCAGACGAACCCACAGACGGAGAAAGTGGCTGCAATAGCGCACCCAACTTCGTTGTAAAATGCGCTAAACATTATAATGAAAAGCAAAAAGCTATATGACGTAAAGGACACAAAGTATAAAAAAAGGTACAAAAGGCGCCATAAAGTTAAAAAACGCGAAAGAAGCAAAAACAATTGGCACCTTATGGTTTAATAAAACTAAAGAAAATAATCGGCATTCTTTCAAAAATCAATTTGGTATTAATTTGTGGTTTTAAGCAGACCTGGCCGGTGATAGTTGTAGGGTACAAACAGTACAAAATGCCCATTGGACAATGAACATAAAGAATACAAAAGACAATATATAGAAATGGCACAAAATACACCAGAGACGAAAAAGATACAAGATACACAAAAGACATAAAAGACACAAAAGATACAAAAGACACCAAAGACACCAAAAAACACAGAAGACATAAGAGATAGGGGAGGCACAAGAGACAAAAGACCCGAAAGACATGAAAAACACAAGGGAAAAAAAGACACGGCCGATACAACGTACACTTAGGACGAACGGTCGGGCAAAGGATAAAGATACTAAAGCTCACAAAAGCCAAATTCAATAGACACAGTACACTAAGAACATGAACGGCAAAGAATATAAAGGGCGCAGACAGCAAGGATACAAAGGGCATAATAATAATAATAATAATAACACAACACAAACACAGACACAGACAATCGTTACTTGATTTTAATCCGTGCGATTAGTTAACCAGGCTAGACCTGAGCTCTCACAAGAAACACCGACCATAATAATAATAGGACTTTATTGGACACAAGATATCAATATAATTGTACATTTACAAGACAGAATGACACAAAAAGTACAAAGGAGACAAACACCACCAAAGACAAAAGTAAAAAAAAAAAGTGGCACCAGGAAATGATACACATAGAAGACAAAAAACGCACAGGATCCACAGATTACAAAAGGGAATGCAAAAAAGTAAAGGAGACGGACACAAATCACGTATTAAAGGGCAAAGGACATAAAAGGCACAACAGGCAGAAGTCAAAAGATACGGGGTAGGCAGAGGGCCAAAAGACACATTAAGCACAACAGGACACAAAATATAAAGGCCAAAAGGCAAACTAAATGCAAACAAGTATAAATTGTGCACAACTCATGTGCAGATAAGCGCATTTTTTTAAACCGAAATAGCTTTTGTTTTGACATCACCATTGGATATATTTCTTGCAGACGTCTCAATCGCCCTTTGTGAGTACGCTCTTCCGACAATCCGTTCTTGAGGTATAAGGGAATACACCCGATCACGATAAGAGGTCGAGGAGGAGAGCTATGGTTGGTAGAAATTAATTCCTTTCGTTGAGACCTTTCATTAGAGTATCATGAAGGATAAAACTAGTTCCACTCCCACCCCCTCCACCTCCCGTACTTTGGTAAGAGGAAAGAAAGAAGGGCAGTAGTTGGTAGAAAACGGTTCCTTTCGTTGAGACCTTTAATTAGAATACAATGAGAGATACACATTAATTTTTAACCCCCCCCCCTCAGGCCCGTCGCTCACTGATCTCGAAAAAAGTCGCACGGAAAAGTTAAGTACATACAAACCCAAAAATCGAGACCAATTGGTATTAGTGGTATATGTAAAAGTTATTATACGTTTACTTTCAAAAACAGCAATCTCCAGGAAATAATTCGTGGGGGGGGCAAAATGTGATGGCCGTCTGGCACACCTTCAAGGTATAGGCTACCTACTGCAAAAAATTCCAGGACTATAGGACCATTCCCCTAGAAGTAGTTCAAAACGGTAGAGGTGGGTCCGGACGGACGGACAAAACGCAAACAATAGTACATTTTTTTTTATTCTTAAAAAATGACTAAAAAGATAGGAAACCAAGAACATAAAATACACACAAGAACACACAGAACACAAAAGATGAGGTAACAGGCAAAATAAGGGCTCAAAAGTTAAAAGAATCTGAAATTTCACAAATGGTGATGGGATAGACGCCAACGACGCCACAATATACGAACAACAGAAAATACAAAAAGCAAAGGAGACAAAGAACAGACAAAACACAATGAACAAAGAAGACGCAAAAGATGCAAAATACACCAAGGACAATAGGTAAAGCAAAAGACAAAGGAAACCTGCACAGAAAATAAGAAGTGCACGCGGCACACAAAACACAGAGAACCAAAACAATATAACAGTAGACAAAAGACACAAAATGTACCACAAAGGTACCATAAACACAAATGTTGAATCTTACAAAATACACTGCCATTTAACGCCGAGTTAGACCTTCCTAAAACAAATATTTCTTTCTGCAATAACATTTTGTTTATCACTGGCTGTTTGCAACTAAATAGAAATTTTCACACACCTTAAACACAATAATAAAGACAGAGATTTTTGCGATACCGAGAGCGAGCTATAATAATGTGGGGCTCTTATGATTGTAAAAGTCGCTCTGCACATCCCAAACTTTTTTTAATTTTGAGATTTCAAAATTTTGAATCTGATGTTTCCAGTAATCAACTTTTTTTTTAATTTAGAGGTCTCGTGATTTTATTGGACTTCATTGAACTAACTTCAAATTCCAACAAAGGATTTTTGAAGGATTAGACTCGGTAAACTTTTCGAATTTTGAGATTCTCAAATTTTGAGTCTGCAATTCAATTCAAACCGTCATTGGGTAAAATCATGATTTCCAAAAGTTGTAGATTCTTGCAGGATCTTAAGGGGTCTTCTTTCAAATTGAACGTCGATCAAACAAAATAAGCTACTTAAGAACACATTGAAATTATACTAATACTTTTCAGATATTGAAAAGTAATGGAACAATCAAATTTTTATAATGCCTCTAATTAGTATTCTCCTAAAGTTGCAGTTGGTAAAACGTATTCGTGGTATACGAAGTAGAGAAATTGTCCGAAATATGTAGATGAATTTGCCTTACATTGATTGAAGGATTTTCCCATATTGTTTATTACTGTACATAGTTATACGGCCCAGCTTTCCTGATGTCAAGGTGCGCTTTTGTTGGTCATAGCGTAAACTTCAAAGTTTCTCAACTTGAGCGCAATTTGAAACGCCGTGTAGAATATTTAATTTCGTGCGAGTTTTCTATAGGGGATAAAACGAATTTGATTTGGCGTTGCTCATATCTGCGAAAGAAAACCACTAATATGCCGCTCCGGAGTACGAGGTCACGTATTTCTCAATGAGAATTAAATAATGTGCTTACGGCAATGCACTAGTTTATTGTGCCTCTTGATTGTTAGTTTTATTTCTGTACCGGTTGCTTGGGACATGATTTGTCAAAAAAATCCAGTGCCTTCTTGATGATGCATAATGTGCAACGTACTTGGTGTAACATAACGCACCATGAAACAACATGATACATAATTTAAGATTACGTAACTTTATTTATCATAGTGTGACATAACATAATGTAAAACTTCTAAGTTTGTGGTATAGGTAATACATCTTTATCCATAACTCCTTCGGATGAATTAAAAAAAACTACACAACCGTCTTGCATCTACTGTCACTTGAATATCTCTTTATGCTATTTAATTTATACCTATTCACCTAAGCTACGTCTTTTCGGTAATCCAAATTACTAAGTTTGGTGATGGTGAATGGACAAGAAGCTCCATTTCCCTTTTCCATCTAACACTTTCAGTGAATGTATTGCTAATACCTTCTGTTCTGTTGCAGATAGTGGAGGGTAGTCGCGGCCTGGAAATGACCGCGTCCCTCGATCCAGCAAACAACCAAAATGGTTCACCGAACGGCGGATCGAACGAGGGCAACCAAGACGGGAAGGTCTACACTCTGAACGTAACGAGAGGATACGACAACGATGGTTTCAACAAGGGCGACGGCGACGCCTTGGGCGCCGTCATGAAACCACCCCGCGAACTGACAGACGAAGAGGCATCTCTACAGGGCAAATTTAAATTATCGCGCAAAGAAAAATGGCGAATTTTAAAGAACGTTACTATAATCTCAACGGCATTTATGATACAATTCACCGCCTTCCAAGGGACGGCAAACTTACAAAGTAGTATTAATGCTAAAGACGGACTCGGTACGGTTTCTTTGAGTGCGGTTTACGCGGCTCTCGTGGTCAGCTGCATTTTTATACCGACGTTTTTAATTAAGCGACTAACGGCGAAATGGACATTGTGCTTGTCGATGATGTGCTACGCCCCCTACATTGGGGCCCAGTTTTATCCAAAGTTTTACACCCTCGTGCCCGCCGGCGTCCTTTTGGGTATCGGCGCCGCTCCCATGTGGGCGTCCAAAGCCTCCTATCTCACCCAGGTCGCCGGGGTTTACGCGAAACTTACCGACCAAAGTGTGGATGGTATCATCGTGCGCTTCTTTGGGATCTTCTTCCTCGCGTGGCAAACCGCCGAGCTGTGGGGGAACCTAATCTCATCACTCGGTAAGTGAAGCGTTTAATGGTTTCTCGATAAAAATCGTATAAATTATAGCGTGTATAGTGTTTTGCAACCGAAAACCTTGTAAAACCGCCAACGTACAAAGTTCTATTGACAGACGGCCAATTTTGTTGTAGCGCTTTTGACGAGAGGTTTCCGACATTTTACGTTGTGGTTTGAACGGCAATTTACTATACACGTAATCATTTTTCGTGTCAAATCATTTATTGTTATGACTTATATTGCTTCGTAAAACTATTGCGAACTTCGGTGTTAATCAATCGCTCCCTCCTCTCCCCGATTTAATATGTTGATATTTAATGACGCGACCTTTAATTAGGTAATTACTCCTTTAAGATTTCCCACGTGTCCAAAACGGTGTATTGTTTCTACGTTTTTAATGAACTCGTCAGGATTTATTAGCCGATTCTCTAAACGTGTTTTATGTGATGTTAAACATAATAATTAAACAAACATTGTTGTTAAAAGTACTGGGCGTTTACTAAAGGTGTAACGTTCGTAATCATATTTGAAACTTTCTTTCGATTTAATCAAAAATTGAAGGGAAATAACCTATGACTATTTCAAATTGTTGCCATCCCTTTCTCACTCATGTGTGACATGTGATGGTCGAGAATAAAAAGTTCGCTTGTAATTGGTTCACAAACTAGTGACGTAAAACTCATAGTGCAAACGATTGTATACAGTTTTTTTCACTACTAGCCTAGGATGACTTAATTATCAACCTTTCTGTAAAGTCGACTTTCTCGGCAGTTTTTGAAAGTGGACTTTATGACGTCATTATTAACTAGCAGCCAATAATGTCAACTGTTACTCTGTCAATGTTAGAGATCACAATCCGAAATTTCGCTCGATAATAAACGTTTCCATACTTAAATTAAAACTGTCACATTTTTGAAAAAATTCAAATCAAATTACTCTCTGAAAATATGACAATAACAGAACAAAATACGGCCTGCTTAACATCTAAAATGAATAAACTATTAATAAACAAATCGTTCACTTTCTTAACAATGTAATAATCTATCTCAGTATATAACGACGGTATACAACATTTTTCTATATGAAAACTGTTTATTATTTTATTTCCCATGATAATATAGCATTTGGTTGTTCTTATTTCATAAAGAAGAGTAACGAAAAACAATTGAATTTTTTTAAAGAGCAATGTACTTTTTTATTAGGCTCGTTTGATTGAAATTTTTTTTATCTTTTCTATGACGTAACATGTTTGCCCTTTTTTTCAAACGTTTCGTGATAAGTTAGGTCACTGCCTTGCAGTTAATGGCGAACATTTATTGCTATGAAAACCGTTTTACTGCTAATTTAGTTTTGTTTTCAAGGTTTAATCAGAAACGTACACGTTCATTTTTTTCATTTTGATGTAGGATATCTAAATTAATGTTATTGATGTAATGACGTAATCAAGAGTTTCTAAATTTTTTGAAAAATTTTTTTGCATAAGGGCCGTTCTAACATGTTACGTTATGAAAAAGAGAAACAAAATCTATTAAATGACCCTAATAAAAAGATACAATACTATTTAAAAAATTCAATTGTTTTTGGTTACTCATTTGTTTTCTGAAATAAAAACAATTGAGTGCTGCCTTAAGAAATATACAGCCATTACATCTGTGCCAACATATGTGAGTGAGATAGCTAACAGTAGAATACCGATATTGCGCACTGAGTCAGTAGATATATTTGACATTCCCGGCATTTCAGTGGCGTGTTTTTTTCCGCACACAAAGGGGTTTACGATTGTTGTAATTCACATTTTCTTTATTACAGTAGAAAATACGAGATGTTTTTAAGAAATACTGGCAGTTGGCACAGATGTTTCTTAGTGCAAGTAAATGGGTGGCTATATCCAGGGGATATGATTATATGATCTAAAGAAATATAATATTAAACAACTTTAATATAGAAAAATCTTGTATAGTCGTTGATATATACTATATTACATACATAGTGGGCACCCTCTATATATCGCGGTAAAGAAGTTCGCACCTTACATCTTTCGACGCATCTTGATGCTCAGGAAATAATACCACACTTCTCTGCTTTGGTATATAACGACGAAGGAATCACTGATAAAGTGTTATACTTACACAAAACATCCATTTAGTGTGTATAAATGGACATATTTGAACAGCCTCGGAAATCTACGGGATATCCTTGAACATCCTCGGATTTCCAGGGACATCTGGGTGATATCTGATATTTTTTTGCAAAATCGGCCGATATATATACACGTAAGCGCATTGGAAAGCTAAAACTATCCACCGGTACTTAATGGCCAGAAATTAGCAAATGTTCACTGGAAATTCTTATTCAATTTATTTCGTTGAACCGTCCGAAATTTGTTTCAGTCTAAATAATTTTCATTTTCATGCCCACTTTCTGTCAGGAAATTTGAGTTTCCATGACAGAGGCAGAGCAGACTACGTTTCCTGCCCCTTGTCACTTTACTGGCCGCAGCTATCACTTTTCGGCGGCACCGTCACTTTACCGGCCGCATTTGTGACATTTGTAATGTCTATAATGACTCCTGTCATCACTGACAGATTGACATTCATCAAAAGTTTCATATACAAATTGAAATGTTATACTAAAATACGATTTCGGGTAAAATTTAGTACAAAACTCGTCAGTAAAACGACCTTACTTGGCTCGGAAATTAAAGTACTCGGCCCCAAGGGGCCTCGCACTTCAATATTTCCTCGCCAGTAATGTGTCATTTTCCTGACTTTTATGTAAATAACTATTATGTACGACTGCTTGATAATACGGTAATTACAGTCGCAATTAGCAGCTATAATTTGCAATATTATGACCTCGTCCATTTTGATAAAATAAAACGGCTGCTTGTCAATGTGACAGTCGTAGTTAGGTGTCGATTCAAGGTAAATTCAAGTATTTTAGAAATACTTGACAAATGCTTGACATCTGTTGTCAATGATATATAGATTTTATCGTTTGTTAAATTCCATGAAATTTTCTTCATTAAGGGTTGTTGCAGTCGTACATAAAGCTTTGTATATATCGCGTCCATAAATAGGTTTTATGTGGACTCGCCATGTTTATTTGCGCCTCGCTCGGCCAAATAACCAGCTCGTCCATAAAGACCAAGTTTATGTACTTGATATATAAATACCTATTGTGAGGTACACACGGTAGCTTTAGCGGACGACGCTAAATAAAATGCTGTTGCCTTTTATGGAATATACACGGGTGTAGCACCTAAGATCCCTCGGATCATAACCGTGAAAGATACCGAAAAAAGTTTTAAGGCAAAATTGTACACAATTACCACCGGCATGTTTCTAAAATATTTTTGATCACCAGGGGCGTGCTGTTATTCCAGTGGCGTATCAAACTTGCATTTTTTTTAAATTGAACACCCCATATTTTATTACTGATTTGGAAAGTACTTATTTTTTTATGTGACATGTTATACCTATAACTTTAACGGCTTCGCTGTTATAACCTTTTTTCTTCAAAATTTGGCAGTTTTTCGGAATTTTTTTGCGAGATACTAAATCGCGCAGGTGGCTAATTTTTGAAGTGAGGCGCAAGTTAAGACCTCTTCCACAATCACATAATTTTTTTAGGTACTTTTTTGGTTGACCTTCGCTATATGTCATATTTTTTTAAAATTTCAAATTACACCTCCCTAAACAAATTATAACGGTGGGTAGCCAAAACTACAAATTTTCCACTGATATAAACAAAACCACACATTCCATAAGAAAATTTCAGAGAAAACCAAGTCGAAACGCCAATTTGTAAAAAAAAACGTTCTTTTCCGAAACCAAGTGTGCCATGATAAAACAAAAGATGTTCAATTCTCACCATTAAGTGACGGCGCAGGAATGGTTGATATAGTGTTTATTCTTAGAGACCGTTACCGGAATTGTTTGCTTGCGTCACGAGTGTACGCTGGGAGATATCCTGGCCGCACACATTCAGATCCAGTATAACGCGATTCTAAAGTAGTAGTAGAAAAATAAATCTTTCATGACGATAAAGTAATATGAAATTTCGATTTTTCGAAATACTGAACTATAAGCACTATGAACAGCATATTTAAGTTATAGGTTTGCTTTTGCTGTTAAATGTTATTTTAAGAGAGAGAACTAGATCTATATATCTCACACTTTGTGATCTGCGACATGCCGAAATTTAGTCATACAATTTTGGGTATTATTTTTTTCCTATAATATATTTTTTATTCATTTATATCAGTACCCTAAAAAAGCGGAAAAAAACTGAAACCGGAATCGTTACCGGATTATAATAGTAGTGTAGAACCGGAACTTATATTTCATGTGGGTTCCAACCCTTGTCTGCAGGTTTACATATGTATTTGGAGTTTTGGTGCAATGCTACGATATTCGCGACATATTTTTTTATAAAAATGGTTCTATATTGTTCTACGATTATTTAGTTACAAATACAGACAACTGTAGGCGCACAAATTTCCCCATTTTTAACTGTCTTAGACGTATTAAGAGGGCTCATCCAAAATAGCATAGTTTATTTATTTATTTATTGTCCCTCTCTGGGCCCTCAAGAGGATTTCGTCCAATTACAGTTTAACCCGCACAATTCTTTTTAGAGGTGCCTTTAATTACGATTGTCTCAGAGCGATGCTAAAAAATTCGGCAGTATACAGTGTCTTCCAACTAAAGTCGGCACAATTGCAGATTTGGTTATTATGAACCATTTGTTCTCATTGTTACAGGTTAAATTGGAAAAAATTAACTGAGCATCGGATTACTAAAATATTGAAAGAAAGTAAGAAAAAAAAGAAAGAAATAAACATATTGAACAAAATATTTTTTTTCATCAAACACCCTGTACGTTTTTCCGAATTCTACCTCGCGACCCAACAGAGCTACAAAGCATTAAATAAACAATGTAATTTATTCCATTCTCCATGTGAAATTAGGAAAAATGGAAAATAAGATGAAAATTAAAT